AATAATAATAATAATAATGAAATCACTTCTGGATCTTATTACTATTCCTCGACTTAAATTCAAAGTGATTTACTACGTGATATCAAAAAACATTATATGATTACAAAAATGATGTCGTCTGATGTTGCGAAGCTCGACTGTAGACTCTAAAAACGAACACTTTCTGTAACTACACGGACACACAACGCGCGCACACACAGACGGTGTGCACACCCCCTATATGTTCTAATATATTTAGAACACACACACTCAGTCACGACCCACTAGTAGAGTTTACTTCATTATACAAACATTACCGGGCGGGTGGTGCGGTTTGGTACGGTTAAGGGACAGGCCTTCATTGTATATGAATGTTTAAAAAAATAGTATTTCGATGACTGCACGAGGGTGAATAAAATATTAACCGGAATTATTTAATGTAAATTTATTTGAGTCTTCAAAAACATGTTTTCTTTTCTATACAGTCCCCAGACTTAGAAACGCATTTTCCCCAGCGGATAGGTAGTTTTTTATTCCATTCTTATAAAATAAAGATTGTTGCTACACCAGCCAACAAAGCACTAAAGCTTCGACAGCGACATCGTCCTCAAATTGCTGACCTCCAAGACCTTCTGACAGCGGTCCGAAAACTGAAAATACAAGGCACCAAGTCACAACTGCAGAGTAGATATTGTAGTGAAGTTCAGAGCAATGCTGCAGATTGCCTACAGGGTTGCGGTATGTGGCCAAGCATTGTCGTGAAGTAAGATTACATTGTGGATTGGAAATCTGCAACTTGTTTTGGCGATATGCGAGTTTTGCTTCGTTCAGAAGTTGGCAACAACTTGCAGCGTTCACAGTACGACTTTCACGGAGAAAATCAACGTGTAAGACCCCTTTGAAATCAAAAAAGACAGTTGCATGAATATTTTTCTGAAGATTCTTTCTTGCGTCACTCCATGCTGGATTGTTTCGATGTCGGAGTGTAATGGTGCATTTACGTTTCACTCAAGGCCACAATGCGATGCAAAAGCTCATCCTCTTCGGCCTGGTAAGGTGAAAAGAGCCCTCAAGAAGCGTATTTGGATCAGAAGATGCACAACAGTGCATCCACTTTGCGGCCGCTTTCCGAAACGCCAGAGCCTCTGTAAGAATGGAATAAGCACGGTTGTAGCTTATGTCGATCTTCGAAGAAATATCAGCAACAGTTCTGCGTCGCTCGTCCCTCATCAGGCAGGAAACGTGGCGGATGTTTCCCTGAGTCGAAATATTGCGCGGACGGCATTGGTGAGCTGCATTGCCTATTGTTTCTCGTCCTGTAACTAAATTAAATAATTTTTGTCATGCGTACACTTGCAACTTCTTCGTGGTGTCTCCGAACTGTGCCGTCAGCCGTATTACAATATGCAAGTTTTACACCCTCTTTCGGCAGAAATTTAATTATAATACGTTGCGCAGCACAGTAGAGCAACTCTCGCTATGACATCGCAATTGAGACTGACGCAACTTTCTACAAGTCGTTTCTTTCTTCTCTCGTCGTCTTCGAACTTCCAACGAATCGTTTCTTCCCAATAGATACACAAGTCGCTTCCTTCGCGTTTCACCTCCAAGCGCATAAATACCTAAAGAAAGAGAAACAAGACTCACTTCTGGACTCACATCAAGAGCATCCGCTGCATGATCCGGCAGGGTGACAGGAACTGGTGGTTCTAGCTCCTCCTGAAAAACATTAAGATGTTCGTTTTAAAGTCGTGCCCAAAGAACACACAGCCAGCAAGTGTTTCATAATGAAAACGAGATTATTCTTGGTAACAGCCCGTGGCGGGGCGGTCATCGATAAATGGGGTGATGAGCCAACATGAGCAGACGTCGTTAGCAGAATTGTTTAACTACGCCCAATGAAGTCACGGAAGTTTTGCAATTCGAGACAATACGGATTCCTGGACGGGTGACCGTCTGGTAACCCCGATTACTAACGGCGCCGAGCCCCTGGACGAAGAGATAAAAGGCACTGATTGCGACGAGGCGAGAGAAAAAGACAAAAACTTAAGGGATGATCGCTTCACTTGCGCTCAATGCCCAAGAAGGGTACCGATGAGGAAAAAGTGTGAAGCTACAACGGCTCATTTTCTCGCAAAATTTCTAACTGTTGCAATTTTCAAAAATTCAGAGAGTTCAATGAACATGTGATCTGTGCCAATTTTTCATCCTTCCTTGCTCTACCCCAGTTTCTAAAAAATGAAGACGTATTTGCAGACATTTTTAATAAATTGCCTACGCTTTAAATAAAGATTACGCAAAACTACTTGTTTTTTTTAACATAATGATCTTCTTTAAAGAACTAATTTTAAACGTATTTCATTCAGAAAAAGTCTTTATCACAACTATTTCTGTAATTTTAATTTTTTGCAACTTTTGAAAAATCAGGGAGTTTGCAAAAATGGGTTTATTTCCACTTTTTGGCGTCTTTTCCTGCGTCCGGGGGAAAAAGTTTAAGAAAGGACGAGTAGCCGTTTTGAGGAAACCACTGTTTAACAATTGCCTATGTTTCACGCAAAAATTCGCGCAAATACTCATATATCCGGAAAATTGTACATGACCTTTTTAAACATCTCTTTTAGAAGAACATATTCCATTAAAGAAACTAATAATCCTACCAAAAAAAGTAATTTCTTGCATTAGTAACTGTTACGTAATAAACCAATGTTACTGTCCACATTAACACATCTCAGTAATCACTTGTAAAACTCAATACAAATCGTAGGGCATTTGGAGTAAACACTAATTCCTTTAGCATCAACACAAACTCGAAAAACCCAAAACTGCTTTCCATAATCCAGAAACATTGCACAACAATTAGCACGTATTCACAGAAATTCAAACTGTAGTATTGTGGCCTTACCACAGCTGTATTGCGACATATCTCCTGGTTTTCCTCCGCAAAAGGGGCGCGGGAAATCTAAAGTTTGAAGTAAAAATTACGCTAAATGATTCATTTTAAAAAGAAATAACCATGACCGCACTTAAAATCTAATTTTCAAGATCAGATCTCAATAAATTAAAAAAAATCTCTAGTCTCAATATTGTTGTTTTCAATGTTATTTTCCATTGTTATTTTCGAAAATACAGAGCTTGCCGGAATTGAGACAAGCACCACTTTTTACCGTCTTTAAATAGATACGAGGAGAAATTAAAAACAAAAAATTGTAATGCAGCGGGAAAAAATGGCGGATTTTCGACACAAAAACTCTAACTGCCGGGTCCTGGTAATGAAAAAGTGGATAAATCGTGTCGCCATAAATATAGTGAATTACTTCCTTTATCACGTTATGTAGCCAAAATCCATGTTTTGTGGGTCCTTGATACAGAAAACTCGATTGATGTCAAAACATGTGTACGTTCCACGCTTAAAGATTTTTTTTTCTTTTTTTTTTTTGTACCACTAAGCGTTGGAAATTTTTGTAGAATTTGTTATAAATGTATTCGAATATACACAATGTGAAAGTACAAGTTAGAAGTGAGTAATATTTAACTGCCATATCTATAAATTTGTTTATTAAAATATTCGCTCATTCACTATTTCATATTATTCTCACTTTTTCAAAAATAAACTTACGAAGTTGGAACAATTTTTCAAGGTGAGTCGGCAGCAAAAATAAAACATTTTAGCGGGTTTTGCTTTACTACTTACCGGGGGAATCTGTTATTGTTTAATTTCTGTTTGACGACATAATCAAGACATTGTCGCAAGCTCCCGATTGGATGAAACCGCAACAGCTGATTTACGTCAAGTGCACGACTAAATAAATGCGTACTATATAATAGATAGTATTAATAATAATAATAACTAATAATAATAATAATAATAATAATAATAATAATAAACATAAGATATTACGAATTACCGACTTCTCAAGGGAAAAAAGGAACCTCTAAGACAAAATTATATTAACCAGACTTGATTGTTTTCTTGGATCTAATAATAATATCCTTAATAAATCACAAGGTTTCAGGAATGGTTTGGACATCACCACTGCTGTTGTTGAATTCATTCAGGAAGTCCGACCGCCTTCGGGGGTCTTCGCTCTCTTGCCTGATAGCTTGATAAAACTAGGGGCCAAGTTTCTCGCACCACCTGCCTTCGAGCAGAGCTCAGAAACTTACATTAAATCACTGGAAATGTGGAATCAAATACGAAAACTGCGGGTATATTCATTGATCTTTCAAACGCTCCTCCGATTTCTCTGAACTTTCTTACGCAGATGATACAACATTAATGAGCGGTGGCAAAATCTTTGTCATCTAGAAACTAATCTGACTAAATCTTTAAAATCAATTAAATGTTTTTTGTCGTTAGATGAACTGAAATTAAACTGTATTAATCAAATTCAAGTTTCATCACTGTTACCAACACCGAAACATTAAATTCGAAGTAGACAATGAATCAGTGAATCAAGTCGATTGTCATAAATTTCCAGGAATATTCATAGATCAAACTTATAACAAACATGCCGACTCACTTATTGTTAGTAATAAAATAAACACCAACACATGCCTCATGATATACTTTTGCCGATACCTGGAAACATGCATTTATTTCAATCTATTATGTAATATTCTTCTCACAATTTCAATATGATACTGAAATATGGGGAGGCAAAACACACAGAAAAAATATTAAAAAATTTAAAAAATTGATGGATTAATTTTCTTACAAAAGGAAGGTACTAGAGGCATTTCAACCCGAATCCGAGCCAGTCCTACAAAGATTTGTTTATCAAATATAAATTAGTAATCTACTCTTACAAAGTATTACTACTATTGACAAATAATCGGAATCATTATCTTGTGAGTAATAAAGAGATACGTAAGTACTAACATACTATAGAACAGGGCCTATCACAGGATATATACCAGCAAGTTTTCAACTCACAAAGATCCATTGTGCATTGCTACACAGCTGTTTAATAATCGTCAAGTTACCATAAAATCAGGTGGTGATAAATACTTCAAAATATTTCTTAAACGTCACCTTATTCGTGTGTGTGTCGTGGCGTCTTTTTATGTGAGGTCGAAAAACTAAATTTATTCTGCGCGTCTGATTCAATCTGACCACCACGGTTGTCAAACCACGATATATGTTGTTGTTCCGTGGTACATATATGTGACGTTCCTTCGTCACCTGTCGCAAAGAGGGCAAATTTCGCATTTCCGTTGTTAGGTGGTATCTGAAGAGCGACAAAATGTATTTTTGGGTATTACTGAGCAACAAAAAAGCGACAAATTTCCATATAATTATTTTTTGTTTTATTTATCTATAATTTCTCGGTTTTCTGGTAATTGCGGCGTTACCTTGATGTCCAGTTGTTTATAGCAGGGTCAAATGAGCGAAGGTTTTTGCAACACAAAGTAGCAACAAAAGGCGACAAATTTCAAGTTTAATTCCTTTTTCTTTTAATTTGCTGTGCTAATTTTACGGACCTCGTGAGGAGGTGGTCCGGGAATTCCGAATGCGACGCAGCCCTGGACCTGTGGTTCGCAAATAGGCAATTTTGCGAATGCCCTTACTAAGTTCATTAATACTGATTGGCTCGCTAGCTCGCTGCCCTTTTTCGCTTTATACTACCCGCTCCGTCTTCTCTAACGCTGATACTAATCATTCCTGAGACACCAAGCCACCTCAGTTTACGGGAGATGTCGAAGGATGGCCGGGTAAAAATCGGAATTATTTGGAAACACTATTTTTCAAGATAATGTATAATTTCAATACTTCGGTTATAGAGGATACAAGAACGTCTGTCCCAATTAAAGCGCCAGTAGTGTGATTTGTGAAATAAAATAAATTAGTGGTGTTACAAAATGGCACATACTTTCTCGAACTAGGTCATTTCCTTATTTCTTTGCTCTGGGCTATATTTTCGGATTTACTCCACCCTCTTCCCAGCTGCAATACATTGCCATCTAAAGATAATTTTCGACATTTTTTTTCTTCAATTTTTCGGTTCCCTAATGATGATAACCGATAACCGAATGATAACCGATGATGATAATTATAACCGAAACATGACTAATAGGACTATAGAAATGTAAAACCTCGTCATACATGGACATTTTCGTTGCAAATTTTAAGAACTAACGTTAGAGTGTTTTTGAAAATGCAGAACTGCGAGCTCAATTTCTCAGAATACTTTTGAGTTTTCGAGGAACTTTATAAGCCAGCCCGGATTTTTATGTAATTATATATTTTTTGTCTTTCTACTTACCGATCTAAAAAATTTAATCCTGGCGAATCGTCGCCGTCGTAACACATCAACAACATTTTTCGTTACATATTTTTACATATTTAGTACATTACATATTTTGCTATTTTCATAACAAAAAAATTTATTCTATCAATTTTCTTCAATTTTTTAACTAATTTTTATAAAACGAAGTATTAAAAATCTCTCTTATTTCCGACATCGTAACTGTGTTGACTACTCGAGGTTTGCTACATGAAGACGCGGTAGCATTTTTTCGGTTCTTTCTTACAACTACAAAACTGAAGATAGAGGTTTTTCCTTCATTTAAAATTTGTTGTCAATAATTAGTTATATCATTAAGGTTATGTACATTTTTTGAACATTTTAGAAGTCGCGGAATATTGCGCGCGATTTGTGCAATTTTAAGAAATCACAAAAACCAGAATTTCTCACAAACAAACTTTTGTCTTTAAACGT